TGTGTGTATGTCTGTGTGTGTGTATGTCTGTGTGTGTGTATGTCTGGGTCCATGCGTCTGCGTGCTAGTGGCTGTGTTATTTTTGAGTGGGTGGGAGGGTCATTATTTTGCCGAGGATGGGCTGCCCACATAGACAGAGGTTTAAGCCCCCCCTTTGCACACTGATGAGCGGCTCGAAGATTGGGCGGGGGTGGTGGGTGGGGGCGGGGAGCTCTGGTACACGGCGAAACAATAGCACTGTCAGCACTGATGAATCGGAAACAACCGGTTTGACTGTGTCTGTCGTCAGCACTAACAACAGGCCTGGCTTCAGTATGCGGGCCGCTCATAACAACAGGCCTGGCTTCAGTATGCGGGCCGCTCATAACGACAGGCCTGGCTTCAGTATGCGGGCCGCTCATAACGACAGGCCTGGCTTCAGTATGCGGGCCGCTCACACGCAATGGGCACAAATCTGATTAAGGAGCCAAAAAAGGGCCCAGTTCTCCCCGACTTTCATTCATCAAGATGTCGTAATGTTTTCAAAAAGAGCACTTTAATATTTCAATAGGTCCTAAGGTCCCTGCTATACAAGGCTTTATATTAAACAGCTGCTTGGGAATGTTATTAATGGTAACCGTGTCTGGGTGACTGGATATTAAATTCTTTAAAGCCATGCTTCAATATCAGTAGAGCTCCTGAGAGAACGTGTCTTTGGCACCTGCTGTGTCCGACGGGGAGGCGGAAGTGTTCTGGCTAATTAAAGAAGCAGTTCCTGGTATAGTTTTATAACATTTCTTGATCTTCAGAAGAAACATCAAGGTATGCTTAGGTTGGGGGTGTATTTATCTGAAATTCACCTGAAATTGAATTCATTTTTAAGGAATGAGAAGTATGGCCAGCAGAGCAAACAAAGAGTTTACGGGCTCGCGCGAAAGCAGTCGGCCCCGATCTCCTCTCTGCTGTCTCACCTGCCCAGCTGCAACAGACTTCCACATCCGGCTCCTGAGCATCATTGATCTAATGAGCACATGGTGGGTGTGCTGGATCGTAACCTGCAAGCCGGGAGCCATGAGATAACAGCAAAGGACTCTGCCCCTAGCTTCTTTGTGGCCAAATGTTTTCATCAAAAGCTTGTACGTTTAAAAATAAACGTTTGTCCATCTCCAAGGAAGAAGAAAGACCAGGCAGGGAAGCAGGACTGGCAGGCTTTCAGGCAGCCTTCAGTTGTTTTGCATTCCTTTCCCGGGAGAAAATGAGGTCTCTGAGATGGATATTGCACATTTTGAGTGGGAATGGCTTCTGAATGGCTGGCAGAAGTGATGGAGCGTTCCGGAAATCCATCCGGAGCCTCCAACTCAGGGGCTGTCACCTGCAGAGATGATCGAGGCTGACAAACAGTGAGCCCTGTTTCTGAGCTCAGCCCCCCTTCAGAATTCCTCCCACACACTCCGATCAGCACGGCACTATGGGCAGGGACACACCCCAGTTATTTACTTCACTCGATGAAACGATCATTTAAGAAAAATTGGGCCACTTTCCTTTTCACCTTTATGTCAGACCGGGCTGATCACCCTTTAGAAACACCTTCATACGTCTGCCTGGTCATCTGAGCCCAGCAGCATTGTTTTCATTGGTTGGTTGTTTTGTGTGATCTTGTAACCTTGTGCACAAGCTTTGAGGTCATAGGTCATTTCACGGTCACCTGCCATTTGCCTGCTGGTGATTGGCTCTTCATCTCCTTGTTTTGCTCCAGACTTCATCAGCTTTATGTATGCATGTTAGGGATCGGCGTGGCATGGCAGCGCGCTTCCAGGACCATGCTGCCAGTGGCTCTGTAAGGGGCTGTTTTCGCCTTTAAACACGGGCTGTTGTATCCTTGTCACGTTCAGCTCCGATCCAGCCGTGTACGAGTGTCGGCGGCTGCCTGTGCTCGCGACGCCAGCAGCTCTCTAAGATGTTTCTTTTTTTCCCCTCCCCCTCGCAGCGTTTAAACTTTAATGCTCCCTGGCAGTGTGGACAGTTCGACCTGAATTCAGGAGGGACCCCCCCCCCCTTGATGTCTTCATATTTTGGCTCCCCTGAACACATGGCATCAAAGGCCTTCCTCTAGGTAAGCCTTTGTGTGATCTCATTAAATGTTTCTAAGCACGCTGAAGACCGCTGTAGGAGTAGCCTCGCGTTGGGGTGGCCCAGACGGCCGTGGGGATGGATGGCTTTAAACCAGACTGGGCAATCAAAGGCCCAACATTCCCATCCGCTTCCTTTTGATGCCGGCAGCTGGCTGATAGGAGGCCTCATCAAATGTGACACTTTTCTGCTATCAGAGTTATTGTCTGCCACAATGAGCCTATCGCATTTTCACGCCAGCGCACAAGTGCGGCTTTGCCACGAGAAGAAACGTGACAAGGGGAGTCAATGGAGTCAATGGAGTCAATGGAGTCAATGGAGACTCGAACTCACCAAATGCACATTTTTTGGAGGCATAGGGAGGCATTTCTGGGGCAGAAGGCGTGAAAGCGGCCACATGGCCATACAGAGGCCTTGGGGTTACCATAGAAGTTACACTTACAATCCAGCAGGTGGAGCAGTGAGCGGAGTCGCATGAGAAGGCGGGCTCAGGTAATTATCATCGTTATCGACTGGCGAGAGGTCGGTGTGTGCCGTGTCCAGCAGAAATGAAATGCCACGCATGAGCTGTCGTGCATCCCAGCTCTGGACAATTCATACCGATCGCTTAGCAACCACTTGTGAGCAGAGTGGGGGTTGGGGGGCAGTACGGAGGACTGGGATTATCAAAGGTAATTGAGTTCACCTGCCCCCTGCTGTTACTGGGGGCCCCCCTCATAGGCCTATCAGCAAAGTGCCCTTTACCCCCCCCCCGCCAGTTCCCCTGGCCACTGTCTGCACTGGGCTCCCTGCTCCCCAGCACTTGATGGGTCTCCTCTCCGGCCGATAGACCCTTGGCTCTTAGCTTGATTTTGTAAATAAAACCCCTCTGACCTGCGTTGTCAGTAATTCATGGCACAGTGTACAGGAGCTGTGTCACTGGAGCAGAGCGCTCTGGTACCTTCCGGAAGCTATGGCTCTTTTCAGACACGGAGTCTGGACCCAGGTGGAAGATGGAGGTTTTATAATTCAACTCCGTCACCTGCTGTGGAATTCTCCGCAGCTTTTAATCGGTGAGAAAACCACACGGTTTAAAGCCAGCTGACAGAAATTAACATGATTGTAATAAATGAGTTTGTGCGTCGGCTCGGTGCTCAGTACCGTGCCGGTCTCTCCGGAGCTCCAAAGCCGCCCTCATCCATCGCCGGCGCAGCGTCCCTGTGTCCGATATGGCCTGAAATAAAGCCTGTTTGACAAGTCAAGAATGGAGATGTGGTCTGGGAGGCCTGACTCAATAATGCGGAGTGTGCAGACACCCCCATCCCTCCCCCACGGAGACAGCAGGCGGTCGCTCCTCTACTCCGGGCTCTTTTTTTATAACTACTTCCGCTTCTCTATTTACATGGTTGCTTCACAAAAACACCTGCATTTGTTTTCCTGTCAGAGTCACACTCTGGAAATAAAGCTTGTCAGTGTCTGTGTAGCTCCTCCTTTTTTCTCAGTTTATATATGGCAAATGATCATCCATCCATCCATCCATCCATCCATCCATCCATCCATCCTGGAGTTTGGAGCTTATGCCAGACAGCATAGGGCACAAAGCTGGGGTACACCCAAGGACAGGAAGACTAGGCACACACACACACACACGCACATGTAGGGTATACATATCCTTATGGGGACTGCTCATTCACACACACACGCACACACACACACATGAAGGGTATACATATCCTTATGGGGACCGCTCATTCACACACACACACACACACACACACACACACGCACATGTAGGGTATACATATCCTTATGGGGACCGCTCATTCACACACACATACACACACACACATACGCACACACGCACACACACACACACACACACACATTCAAAGGGAAATTTATTGATGTAAACAGCCTAATTGCATGTCTTTGGATTATGGAAAGAAACCAGAGTACCTGACAAAACCCAACTGAGAGTGTGAGAGCCCTGCAAACGAGTATGAGTTTATATCTGCACGTCATATTAAGTATAATTATGTATTTTCATTTTTGTATATTTTATATTACCATATTATTAATAAAGTTTGTGTTATCACAGGCCATTAGGCTTCTCAACGTGAAGTAACTTTGCTCCTTGCTGTACACTATGTACACTAGCACTGAATGCACAAAGTCTGCAATTTTGCACTACATTTCATATTTTTCAGTTTTTGCACTATATTTTTGATTCATGATTTTAGATTTTATATCTGCACTGTATATTTTAGATTATATACTTGGTTCCTTACCTAGTATTTATATATTGTAATTTCTCTTTTTTACTCCGACTTTACTTCTTACCTGTTTCTTTTTTTTCTCTTCTATTTTTACACAGCCACATAAGGGCGACACAGAGATACATTTCACTGCATGTTGTATGTATGTGACAAATAAATCTCTTGAATCTTGAATCTTATATGTGCATTTATATTAGTGTCACATTAATTTTATCAAGCTAAATACTAATGGAATCAGTTTGGGTAAAATTCACGCTCAAAGTCACAGCAGAAGCTTCCTGGCTGGTCCTGATCTTCTCAGCAGGTCGGTTAATGTTCTGCCTCAGCTGTGCACTGATGAACTGTGGCCTGAATTTCATGCTGAGGACACACTGGTGGAGTTTGGACTGGGAGCCCACGTGAGTTTAGCGGAGGGGAGGTCGTGTGTGTAGGAGCTGATGGACACCGTACGGCTCCCGCGCTCCGCTGTCGGGGGGGGGGGCGGCAGCCCGCTCCATGAGGAAGTGTGAGCTGGAGCATGTCTGAGGCGCAGGAAGACTTTAGAAGACTTTAGAAGGAGCTCAGGATATTCGGGATACCCTGACCTGTTCAATAGGAAATGCAGGCCGAGGTGATGGTACAGGGGCAGAGGGCTGTCAGATACAAGCCAGAGCAGCCGGGGAATCGAGCAAAAGTCCAGAAAGACCTGAGAAGACCACAGACGTGGGTTAAAAATTAACCTAAAAGAGAGTTAAAAACACACATGACCTACATATGCACATATCTGTCTCTGTCTCCCTCTTCTTCCATTGCTCAATCCATCCACCCATTCATCCATCCACCCATTCATCCATTCATCCATCCATCCATTCCCAGGACCCTCGGCTGGTCAGAGTGATCCACCGCACACTGGGCTCCAGGAAATCCGGCGGTTATTCCTGTCCTGATGGCTCTGACAGTCAGACAGCTTCCCCCCGTGCTGCTGTGAGTGGCGACTTCCTGTGGGCCGCCTCGCCCTGCCTCTCGGCGCTGGGCTAACAAGGCGACCTCAGCAACTGCCTCTAGCCCCCGTCTGTCTCCGGGCCCTAATAACAGCACCGGCATGATAGCATATCAATAATGCATTATATTTTAACACAGAACCACACATATTGCTCCTAAATATTAGATAATAGTATATTTCCTAGCATGTGCTATGGGCAACTAAACAAACTGGGATTCCATTTGCTGCGTTGTTTTCATATTGTCTGTGTCTTAAAGGCACAAAGCAGGGGTGCAGAGCGAATGGGATACCAGTCTATCACAGGGCACAAAGCAGGGGTGTGGCGCAGATGGGATGCCAGTCTATCACTGGGCACAAAGCAGGGTCCGGCGCAGATGGGATGCCAGTCTATCACAGGGCACAAAGCAGGGGTGTGGCTCAGATGGGATGCCAGTCTATCACTGGGCACAAAGCAGGGTCTGGCGCAGATGGGACATCATTTGAAATGATCGGCAGAGTATGCAATCTCCCTATTGGAGCATCACTTTTAATATACACTGTTTTATCAGTATCGATAAAAAAAGATGCAGACATTTTAAAATATAAAACCTTTAATCTGAAGATAACCCAGCGTGCCCAGAGTATTAGTACAAATAAGTTGACATATAACATATTTTCACTAATAGCTTTTGTATACAGGATTTATACAGTGCAGATAGATTTCAGCATAGAGTAAATGACACAGACAAAGTGTGTGTGTGTGTGTGTGCGTGTGTGTTTGTGAACAGAGCCCTCCCCCCCATGTAAGTCACACACATCAGGCAGCAGATCCCCAGTGAGCAAGGTGTTTTCAGCAGATCCCTGGTGACTGCGGAGTTGTGGGCAGATCATTGGTGACCGTGGCATTGTGGGCAGATCATTGGTGACTGTGGAGTTGTGGGCGGATCATTGGTGACCGTGGCATTGTGGGCGGATCCCCGGTCACCTTTGCTGGACTAAGCCTGTCAGACCCCCCAGATTCCTCGGCTTTTCATCCCCGTCCATTTTGGGTGGCCCACCCAGGCTGGTCACACCGCTGCAGCAGCAGGACTGCCTGGGGGCTCGAAGTGATCCCCCCCCCCACCCAGGCTCTCCTCGTTGGCTGCTCAGTGATGGAGGGGGGATGGATTAAAG